ATCATCATTTAAGGAACTAAAGCCAAATCTTAAGCGAGTATGCAGGATTTGAAAAGTTTGCGAGGCCCTGTGTTAAAATAATTAGGAGGTTTGTGTGTGGTTTGAAAGAAGTCGCTGAATTTTGTAAAGATTCTGCATGATTTTGTATTCTGAGGAGCGTGTTCCAGGAACGGATGCTAGACGGGATGAAGAGAGGTTTTGATAAAAGGATGTTCGACAATAGATAGGAGGAATATCAGAGGAGTTTCTGAAGGTGTATCTTTTCGTTTTGACGTGTTGGGATTAGAGTGTTTAAGTAAGTGGGACATAAACTATTTCGAATTTTGTAAATAAAGACCAGTTTGTGATTACTACGTCGAGTTGATAATGATTCCCATCCTAGGTCGTCATAAAGTTTTTCAAGAGAACAAAGTTTAGTAGCACCTGTGACTATTCTGGCAGCCTCGTTTTGAATCATATCTAATTTCATGCTTTTCGCTAGCTGAACAATTATCAAAAAGTATATCTCCATACTCTAATAATGGACGGATAAATGTCAAATATAATGTTTCTAATGTATTTCTGTCGAGTGTAAATTTTAGACTACGGAGAATATTGATCCTTGTCCAAGCTTTGTTTTTAATATATTTCTAGATGATTTGACCATGAACAATCGTTTGATAGAACAACTCCTAAATGTTTGTGAGAAGAAGCTTCAGAAATGACTTGGTTTTGCAGAAGTAGGGGAGGATGTTGTGTTTTGATAGCTTTCCGAGATATAGTCATACATATGGTCTTTTGCTGGATTAAACGAAACCAGCCATTCTTTAGACCATTGGTTAATCTTTTGTAAATCAGAGTTTAGTACATTTGCTGTTATTTCGGGTGTATTAACGATAAGGGATAAACTTGTGTCATCTGCAAAAAGTCTGATGTTGGCGTCGATATCTATTACAATGTCGTTTATAAATATAAGGAAAAGCAGTGGACCGAGAATGGATCCTTGAGGAACACCAGCCTTGACGTAAAGAAGAGAAGATGATGATCCTTGGACAGTGACTCTTTGCTGCCTATTGAATAAGTAGCTTTGAAACCAAAGAAGTAAATCTCCACGAATTCCAGCAGATGACAATTTAGTTATGAGTCCTTTGTGCCATACCCGATCAAAAGCTTTGCTTATATCACAAAATACAATTCTAATTTCCTTTCCATTGTCTATTGCTTCACAGAAAGAATTATAAATTACTGATAGTTGGTTTATAGTTGAGTCGCCTTGGCGGAAACCAGACTGATATTCTGTTAAAATGTTGTTGCTAATTAGATGATTATATACGTGTTTGTATACAGCTTTTTCTAAAACTTTGCTTAGCGACCGCGGATTGGCAAACCTGTGAGGAATACTAAATGATCAAGGAGTACTATACGAATGCTAAATGCAAGATTTCAAAAATGGCCCAAAACATTTTCCCATTTCAATAAACCAAGCTTGTCTCCGATTTTCGTGTTGACCTGCATTTTCATATTGGCGTGTTTTTCACGTATTTCCGTTTCTGTTAAAATTGAAATTTTGTTTGATAGTTTAATCAATATTTCAAGTTTTGAAATGATATTTGGGATGGTTTGGGGAAAAAATAAAAAAGGGAGATATGCCTTCAAATCATCTTATCCTTTAGAAATGATTTTACTTTATATATAAAAATAAGTTTTTATGTTTTTAAGGACATATGTTTGACATTTTTGAGCAATAAGCCGTAACCAAAAGGTAACATAATCGAAAACATAACCAAAAAGGTTAAACCAACACCGACATGTTTAGCTTTCCATTAATGAAAAAAATCATTTCTCGGGAGTAAATAGTTAGCTGTCATTTGGTCACGGAGGCCCCTCATACCTTTTGATATAAATGCAAATATTGTGTTAAACAATAGCTGAAAGAAATGACATATGATATACAATCATATCAAACATCAAACACATATCAGTTTCCGCCGCCTAATTCCTTAAGTATGCAAGTCATAAGTGGTTGCATTTGGAAATCCGTTGAACATTTCAAAACAAGGCAATGTCAAACCCAAGTTAACAATTTTTTACGTCCCGCGAGCGGAAGATAGACAACAATCGCATGTACATTAATTATTAGAGCAACCTGATTAATAAAATCAACTCCTAACTAACGATACGCTACAAGTAAACATAAGATTTGAACTTTTATCATGTTGAAATTAACTGTACATTGTAGTCTATTAAATTTAAATGCATTGGCTGCGGTTGTATTAACAAACATATCAGCGAAACAAAGTAACCACAATTAAATGATATGATATTTGACATTCAAGTATAATCTTTCATAAGCATCAGCTTAATTGTTATGTCACTGGTTTACTGTATGAAAATTGTTTGGTCTTTGGGCCCCGGATCAGTGGGTTTGAGTGCTATATTTTCCTTGAATACTTAAGTTGTTCAGATGTGTGTTGAGGAACATCAGTCATTGATAAAATAGAGAAAAAAAGAACCCCTAAAGAAAGTCAAAAACGGCAAAATTGAAACTGATGCAGGTTCCTCCGTTTGATAAAGCCCAAACACTGTCCCGGTAATGGCCACGGTATCGCTACTGTGTCTTAAGCTGGTGAACCGAGGTGTTCCGTGGTGTTTTTCTGAGATATCAAATTGCGTGTACACATCCCCGACAGAGCCCAAGTGTATTCCCGGTTCAGAACCCGTATAGCACCGGATATATACGATAAGCGCCGATGCTAAATCGGTGTATTCCCGCTTGTTTGCGGTGGAAACCCGACTAGACACGGTTTCATCACGGTCCATCCCGACCATGCAAGGTAATGCTATTGGTGATGCCGGTACTCTGCCGGTGACGCCCTGGTAATGCACCGATGCTTCCTGTTCAAGTTTATGAGAATAAAACTGACTGACCACGTTGACATCAGTCATTTGGTAAAAAGACAGCAGAAATGCCATCCGAAGGAAAGGGGTTGGAAGTTAGAAAAAAACTGTGTCTACAACACCTTCGGAGGTTGAGGTACCTGAAGCTGAAAATGCACCAGCTGAAGAATATTTCCTTCTCTCTCATTTAACAAATTGTCCATGCTCGTGTCCTTCTCCAAAGTAGCACTTCAAGTTTATATATTCCTGTTCTTTAAATTTCCTGTATCGGCATGAGGTCGTTACACCACCGTCTATCATCGTTGTATAACCGTACCTGTCTGCAATATCCGGGACATTACCGGCTCCAACCGGAGCGTTGTTGCCAGTGACCTCGGCAACATTGTGTCATCACCGGGACTTTGCCGTTTGGACATTGATTGACACGCATCTCGGTTTACTACGATTGGTCACGGTATGGATGCGGTATAGATACGGTGGTTTCCCGGCAATTCCCTGTTCCAAGCCGATAGAACACGGATTTGGGCTTCCTCTCGGTGAGTGCCGGTGAGCCCCGGTTGTATTAAACATTTGAAGAAAAACCGTGGTGATCTCTCAGTTTGTTCCGGTTCACCATGGTTTGTCCCTTTACTTCACGAAATTTCAACGACCCAACGTCAGTTTACCACGGTTGATCATGGTTGACTAAACCGTGGCAAACCGGGACATAAAACGGGGACTGTGTAAATGGGGCTTTAACCGCCCTAGTATGACTGTATTACTATTATTACTAGCAAGAAAAAAAGGTCTTTAAATCAATGAAATTACTTAAACCGAATTCTGATCGCGACAATATCATAATACTTTTAAGATGTTGTCAATCAGGGTTATAAATGAAAAAGGGAGACAAAAGAAAAATACTTATCTATTGAGACTTGAGTTTCAATTATATCTTTCTAGAATACGCCTTCTAGCGTAAAAATTATATTATATAGCAGCTCAAATCCTCGATATTTAGGTCCATAAAAGAAAACAATTAAAACAAAGATACTTTTTGTTAAATGACAATTACAGTAAAAATAACAAGAGAGCGTTTTGAATTAAAATACTACTACTTTTAATCATGATTTTAACATGAATTTATATCTTGCGACATTTAACGGTAGTGTTGCGACATTTAACGGTAGCAGAAATTCGAGCGACATTTAACGTTAACATTGCGACATTTAACGGCAAATGATTTTGCGACATTTAGCGGCAGTTGCGACATTTAGCGGTATTGGTGCGACATTTAGCGGTAAGTGCGACATTTAGCGGCGTTGCGACATATAACGGCGCCACACACATTACCAAAAGGCGGTAGATATATGCCGTCTGTTTCACAATAAATGTATTTTTTCTCTCAAAATTTAAATATACAAATGAATGAGTTTTTAATAATGCAATGTTTCATTAAAGCTGCATGCATCCAGATGAGCCTAAATACTTCAAGAAAGACAAAATTGAGAATAAGAAAAGTAAAAATATTCAAGAAATAATCTACATGGTATTTGTGATTATTTTATGGCCGATTTTGCAGTTTTTATCATATTTCTATTGCGTGACTAACACAGTAAGGACTATCTTTGCACATTTTGACCACTTTTTGTTAATAAAATCTAGAGGCATGCTGCTTTAAACGCGAAACAAAGAAAATAACAGGTATGCATAATATCTGAATAAAACATAATACATGTGATAAAGGCACAAATATATTAATGAAAAATGATTGTCCAAAACGCCTATTTCTTACACATCGGAATAAAATTTGCAATATTATCTTAGGGTTTAATTCGTTTGCCCCATATCGGCCTGTTAAACACAATTTGTTCAGTTAAACGGTACTGCTGTTCATACCTTTTTAGTACTTTGCCACCCTTTTAGTACTTTGCCACTGAGTGACCAGCTGCCTTCTCCTTCCTTTCTCGTAATATATCATTGCGCAAAAGCTCGGCCATTATCTCCCTTTCTTCTGGTGTGTAAGTTACCTAGTTTACAAAGAAATTATATAAAATATATATAATATTCTACATATAATGAAATAAATCGCTAAGAACAGTGCAAATCAATAATTATAATGTTAATGAATTCGCCAGAATCATTCCTGATATTGCATATGTAAACTACTAATTTGTTTTTATTCATACGTGCTATTTAATTGTACGGTTGGTACCAACACAGTTTTCATATGACTCCGGAATAGGAAACATGAATTTGGCTAACCTCGTGTGTTAACAAGCAACACCAGGGATCAAAATCATCTAACCTGTCGGAGCTAAGAGATGCATAGACTCCATATTTATAATACAAGCCAGAATTGTACAGAAATATAATTTATGTTTATACTAAAACCTACAGACTTGTTAACGAGTGACTTGTACTTTTATTAAAGTGGGCCAGACAGTTTAGCTAAATACGTATTGCCAGACATTTTAGCTTAGGTCTGGGCACTTTCTCATTAACATTCATGAGAACAGCGGTGACATAGTATGGCACACTCTTCGTCCCTGGATTTATTGTGGGTTAGATCGTTACTAAAGAAACGGCAAGAATGCAGTCGTACTCGTTTATTCCAGGAAGCTGGCCCGAAAATGTCTTACAACCATATGATTTAAACTAACAACCTTGAAAATTTTGTCCTTATGCAAAATTATTAGATATTAACATTATTATGGATAAAAAAACATTCAGATGAAATGACAAGAAATAAAGCAAAGAAAAAAATAATGATCACAACCATACTTCGTTATGGTCCTCGGCTGCTGGGGTCATAGCTCCATTTAGTCTGTCTGCCAGTCGTGAAGGCATTCTGGTCGGATCCCCGTCTGTAAAGTCAACAGTGAAGGAAACGCCAGCATTGCCAATCTTAGAGTCTTCGGCATTTGCTGTGAAAAATATTATTAATATTTATGGCATATTTGCAGTGATATAATTCATTGCCGCATTCTTTTCTTAACTAGCGGATGATATTATTATTTATTTTTTCATTCATATTTCAAGTTTTGTACGCATTATTTGGTTGGTATTTGTAAAAGGAATCAAATAACGTAAACATTTAAATGGTGCTTTTTTTTTTATTTAATCTCTTTATAAATGTAATCTGTTTAAAGTTCTTACTCCATATAAAAGTTTCACTCAAGTTTTTCATGAACCATTTAAATGATTGTCAAGTTTTAAAGTTTTGAAAGAAACTGTTATGAGTTTTACCCTCCTCCAAATCACGTATCATATCAGCTGGCTCTTTCCGCAAATTCCGCTTACAAGGATTACCGTTCTCAGCAGACGGACATACAGCGTTCCTCTTTGGTGTTCTCTTTCCAAAACATGTACCCATTGTAGTAAAATACACTATGCAAATTTAAGCTTAAATAATAAGCGCGCTCTCCAATGTTTCTATGTCAGTGACAACCGTAATTATGATGTTATCTTCATGGAGACGACGTCAAAAGTTACGTCAGTACCGACACCGATGTCTGATGTTACGTCATCAAACGTTTAGAGATTATTATATATATATAATTATAAACTAATTATAGTTTTAACCAGTATTCCGATGTCAATGTGAATATGACAGTGCTAAGTCCATGTAAATCAACTCGGAGGAAAAGCTTTTTAATTGAAGAGGGTCGGGCTGAGGATAGGGCCTCTCCGCCATAATGCACACTGGTACAATTACCAAGACACCTTTATAGGTAGCAGCCAACTGGAGCGACTCAAACTCGTAAATATTTACATTCAATAAAGGGATTGATATTAATGGAAACCACTGTCAAATAACCTCAGTTGTGTTTTAAAGTTAATATTGTATAAAACGTGTCATAAACTGCCACTCGTCAAATTTACTGGGTAATGTCGAAATTTTCCCGGGGTGATTATTGTTCAGCGAGATAACTTTTCATTGCCAGAGTGCTCAGTGAGATTTGATTATACGGTGAGTAATTTTTTCATAAAGTAAAAAGTATCCAATGAGTTATATTCATTATGTGAGTAGTATCCAGTGAGTTATTTTCATTAAGTTAGTAGTATCCAGTGAGTTATTTCCATTAAGTAAGTAGTATCCAGTAAGTTATTTTCATTAAGATAGGAGTATCCAGTGAGTTATTTTCATTAAGTTAGTAGTATCCAGTGAATTATTTTCATTTAGTTAGTAGTATCCAGTCAGTTATTTTGATTATGTTAGTAGTATCCAGTCAGTTATTTTGATTATGTTAGAGGTATTCAGTGAGTTATTTTCATTATGTGAGTAGTATCCAGTCAGTTATTTTCATTTAGTTAGTAGTATCCAGTCAGTTATTTTCATTTAGTTAGTAGTATCCAGTCAGTTATTTTCATTTAGTTAGTAGTATCCAGTCAGTTATTTTCATTTAGTTAGTAGTATCCAGTGAGTTATTTTGATTATGTTAGTAGTATCCAGTGAGTTATTTTGATTATGTTAGTAGTATCCAGTGAGGTATTTTGATTATGTTAGTAGTATCCAGTGAGTTATTTTGATTATGTTATTAGTATCCAGTGAGTTATTTTGATTATGTTAGTAGTATCCAGTGAGTTATTTTGATTATGTTAGTAGTATCCAGTCAGTTATTTTGATTATGTTAGTAGTATCCAGTGAGTTATTTTGATTATGTTAGTAGTATCCAGTGAGTTATTTTGATTATGTTAGTAGTATCCAGTGAGTTATTTTGATTATGTTAGTAGTATCCAGTGAGTTATTTTGATTATGTTAGTAGTATCCAGTGAGTTATTTTTATTATGTTAGTAGTATCCAGTGAATTATTTTCATTTAGTTAGTAGTATCCAGTCAGTTATTTTCATTTAGTTAGTAGTATCCAGTCAGTTATTTTCATTTAGTTAGTAGTATCCAGTCAGTTATTTTCATTTAGTTAGTAGTATCCAGTGAGTTATTTTGATTATGTTAGTAGTATCCAGTGAGTTATTTTGATTATGTTAGTAGTATCCAGTGAGTTATTTTGATTATGTTAGTAGTATCCAGTGAGTTATTTTGATTATGTTATTAGTATCCAGTCAGTTATTTTGATTATGTTAGTAGTATCCAGTGAGTTATTTTGATTATGTTTGTAGTATCCAGTCAGTTATTTTGATAATGTTAGTAGTATCCAGTGAGTTATTTTGATTATGTTAGTAGTATCCAGTCAGTTATTTTGATTATGTTAGTAGTATCCAGTGAGTTATTTTCATTTAGTTAGTAGTATCCAGTCAGTTTTTATTTGTTTGGGTCGTCAGACCAAACAAATAATGGTAGCGAAATTTCAGACCCTGATGTTCTAATTTGCAAATGCCGAAAGTAGTCCAAACTTCTCGAATCGGTTACTTCCCTTCATATGTATATTAACGCCGAAAAATTAAGGGGAGATCACTGCGTAAGGATTGTCAAATGACAGGCGCATTAATTTTCGTAATGAAAAAATAGTTCCCGATTGGTTGAAGATTTCTAATATTGTGTTATTCTAAAATATATACATAATTATATTCAGCTCCATGATTATTTACTTCAGTGTTAAACAACATGTTTACCGTGAGCAAAATATATCGTAATTAATAAGGGTTACAAACTCTAATTTAAAATAATATGGTATTCTTCAGGCTGTTATATTATCACTCCCCGTGGTCGAGGGGTTTACTCGTTGCTTTAGAAGCGAGATGTCTAGAGTTCAAAACCAATTTCAAGCAACTCATTTTTTTTTAATTGTTTAAGCCAAATAAACATTGAATTGAATATCAGTGTTGCAATTAGTCTTATAGCCAATTTACTATAGTTATAACACTGGAAACAGCATTGGTGACACTATTCAAACAAATTGATTTATAATAACAACCTTAGCCTTTCTGACATTCTGAGACCCATACAAATTCAGCGCCTTCTGTGCTTTGATTTTGATTATGTTAGTAATAGCTAGTGAGTTATTTTCATTATGTTAGTAGTATCCAATGAATTATTTTCATTATGTTAGTAGTATCCAGTGAGTCATTTTCATTATGTGAGTAGTATCCAATGAGTTATATTCATTATGTTAGTATCCAGTGAGTTATTAAGGAGTGATAAGTGAAGTTCTCCGCGAGATTTCTTAAAAGAACAGATCAGTAATTTATGTTTATGTAGTTAGCGGTAACTAATGAGACATGTGTACGGAGTTAGAAGAACTCAGTGAGTTATGTTCATTGGCGTCCGCGCCGAAGCGCGTTATGAGAAAGGGCGACAGCAACTTCTCGAGCCTTTTAGTCGGACATAATAAAAGCCGATCATTCCGATCGGTATGAGGGTGCTTGATTATTAATTAAAAATGAAATGTCGCGATATATACAATGAATAGCGAAACTGCAAACCTTTTCAAATGAAATAACCTTTTCCGTCAACAAATCGCGCTCTTCGGGGTATTTTTATTTATCATTTTGTAGTACACAGTGGGTTATTATGGTATGTTTTTGTTGTACATATATCCGAAAGCTGAATAGAATGATGAGTTGATGACCTAAATATTCCGAAAATCTACTTATAGAGAGATGTACTCCTATCGGTAATTCCCGGTCTCTCCTGGTCTATTTTGACCGGGAATCCCTAGTGACCGTCGAATAGTACCACACGTTTTTTTGCCCGGTTTTGGAGTAGATGTTTGATATCGTTATAGAACAGAACAAATATTTTACAGATAAATAAGCTTTTTGAAAATGAATATTTGTCACTTAGTTTGGTTACAATAATTAATAAACACAGATCAACTCTCAAATTTATAATATATTGTATACATGTATATCCGTTGCTATTAATAACCAAGATCATAAAGAAATAACAAGTAATTAATATTCGAATCTCTAGCATGCCAATCAAAGTTAATAATGAACAATGTCTTTCGTCCGTTCATTCATAAGTGATCTACAATTCTGGTAAAAACCAATTAACCATTGAAAAATTTATAAGAGTATCTTGTCATCATATATCTACTAGTTCATCTTCACCTGCTGCATTTCTTGCTTGGACGCCCTTTGATGCTTTGCATCAATGCTTTTCTTGTATTAATATGTAGTGAACGGCCTGTTAAGAAGTGATCACATTGTAATGTTCATATTGTGAATTGAGGTCAGTAAGCGATGTGCAGGGAGTAATGGTTAGTGGGTTATGTTAAAAGAATAAATATTACTCAGTGAGTCATTTTTACGGGGCGGAAGTCTTTATAAAGTGTATGGTGTTCTTTAAGTGAGTGGTGTTCTGTCAGCAATATTCAGAAACGAAAGTGACAAGTAATGTTCATGTGGTGAGTATTTCTAACCAAGTTATCAGGGATAAAATGTAACCATGCATTACAATTATGCCCTTATGTTTAAGAAGACAGAACTAATTAAGCCACTTCATTACCCCCTTTAAACTTAATAGGCACTTACAAAACAATATCAGTTATTTCAGCATACTGTCCAATCGCCTATGAGAACAACAAACTGCTCAGAATTGACACACTTGTTTTCAAGGACTTTATACATGAGTTCATTTTTAACAAAATAATAAGTTATGAAGTTAGATATTTAACATTTAATTACCTTCTAAAGCTGTGACCGTAAAACGTTTCTTAAGCCACATTTTGCCTTAAGAAAGCTTTTTCTTTCTTTCTTAAGAATAGGCAAATAATATTATGAGTTTTATAACAACACGTTTATCACCTGGAGAAAGAAGCGTTGAATGCGAATTATTTGTCATACAATTAGCAAAATAACTCACTGACTTCTATATAAAATACTAAATCATTATAAACTTACTATTTACCAAAAAGCAACAGAAGCAAGAGATAGTTCTGGTAATTGGCAAATTGACTTACCTTTTGGAAACTAAAACAAGAGCTTTTGAGAAATAAAAATTAAGCATTTCAGACGCATAATGGGCCTTTAAACTTATTATTAGACGGAAGCAAAATACCATGCCCTTGCTTGGTTGAGTAGGGGTTGAAGTAGGGGTGAAGGAGGAGGGAAAGTGGTTGGGTGCAATACTGACCAACTTATAGGTGCAACTTACTGTAACAAAAACAGGTTATTATATAGTTCATGTAGCAAATTACTTCAACTTTACTTTTAATTTTTAAAATTAACCGCATTATTTAAAGGCACATTATGCCTAAAAAACAAATAAATATTAACTTTTTAAGAAAGGGCAAACATGAATTTTATAATGTTTTAATAATTGTTGATGAGAATGTTAGTTCCTTGTACTTGACGAAAATAGCGTTAAATTCGAAAATATTTGTAATAAAAGCAGATCCATACAAAATACTAATTCACTATAACTGTACTTTATACTAGAAATTAAGCAACAAATGTAAAAGATGGTTCAGATAATTGGCCAATGAATAACATTTCGGATACTATAAAAGTATACAAAAAATAAATAAAACTTTTGAGAAATAAAAATAAAAGCCCATCTCAGGCATTATGGACCTTTAAACCAACCGTTTTTAACCATACACACCCCATAAACATTACTAAAATAGTATACATATACATGTATTTATCTTTGTGATCTATATTTTCTTTCATCAGTTATATACTATATAATCAAGCGTGGGAGTTATTGTAAAAAATGATTACTTAGATGATACGGACAAATAAAATACGCCATTAAATTCAAGGTTCTGAACGGATCTCAAAAAATGGTACTAAACTATCATTCCCAGCAAAAATATCGGAGTAAAAAATCCTTCTAAAACAACAACAGCAACAACATCACCAACAACAATAAAAAAACAACAATAAAATAATATATATAAATAAATAAGAAAATAAATGAATAAAATGATGAGTCTATGAGATAAAAATGAAACGGTAGCTGTCATTTAACCTTTATAACCCATTAATTTAGCTTTAAAAATCTATACTTTTTATTTTTCAAAAGCAGAAAAACATACATTTATAATTTAAACTCTGAAAATAATTTCACTATGAATGAACAGCAACATTTTCATGTTGACCTATATAGATAATGTAAAAGAAGATAACGTTTTTATTTGAATAGCGTGGGATACAATAAATTGAACATGTTTGAAAATGTCGGCATTAGACTGAGTGATAAAAGCGGAAGATAACTAATAACCGATAACTATATATGTATAGCGTCCTGTCGTGGACATTACGTGATAAATACAAAAATAAGGAAACATTTAATATGTTAATGTGTAAAGCTTCTTAATTAAACCGTCTTGTATTTAATATTTCAAGCAACCCAATTAATTGTAATCATTGTCTTCCCTTGGAATAGCGGGGACGACGCGTTGTCTTTCGATTATTAATTATCATTCATTGTCGTTTGCGGACTGTAAAATAGTCAAATGTCTGCGTTCATGTAACATCCCTGCACTGCGAGGATCGCCTGCTATTTTGGGTCGATTGTTTATTTTTTGTCCATTGAAATAAAATCGCCAGGGAGTTCGAGAATATTCGAAATATAAAAATATCTTAAATCGTCCCCATGCCATTTTGACCGACCCAGGGTGAGGATTCGGGGTGGGGGAGTGGGAGGGGGAGTGGCAGGGATACAGTAAGGGGTGCTCTTGACAGTCTTAACTGTTACTTCTTTTAACTGTCCAGTATTTACATTTCTTGGAACAAAATAGCTCTCGTGACAATGCTTTTGTTATGGCTCTAATAAGACACCATACTCATCACATGACCAGGACATCACATGTTTCGGATAAGAGGCCGATACTTAAAACTTAACTTGACGTGTGTATTTTCGGAAAACAAAATAACATGGCTACAGTACACAATCCGGTAAGAATTTTATTTACATATTTTTCAGATTTTAATCGTTGCTTACCGTTGTTTATGACACGAAATTATGCTGTTATAAATAAAATAAAATTGAAGTGTAGTAATTTAAATATCAATTAAAATTTATGTTTATTTTTGAGACAGTTTCAAGTTATAAATTAAGCATAGATCTGAATAGATGAGTATGTAACTATTAAAGAATTGTGCCTCTATGCATTTCATACATTTCATATTCAGGCTTGGCCTACATACGATAATTAAATACGTATAGTATAAATGATGACAAGTGTGTTTAAAACGATTAGCAAGTGTATATGAGTACACATCGTTGTGTTTATTACTGTATTCTAAACAAATTCACGGATGTGTTTTTTTGTTGTCTTAAACTTTTCAGCATAGTGTTTGCATAAAACGTAACATTATATGAGGCCTTTTAAAGTTGATCACCATACTAGTATTACATGTATATTTTGATATAGTGTACGGACCATAATGACATAAACACTTGAAACTAATTATTTTTGCTTTGTTCGGTTTTACGGCGCACCAACAAAATTTTGGTCATTTGGCGCCGAAACAGTAAAAATGATTTTGGGTAATTTCAAGTGTTACAATATTTTATAAAGCGTCAAAACCTCCTCACATGCTAAACAACAAACGGTAGGATTTAGTTGTACAACACTAATTAGAGATAGGATGTACAATTTTCAAAGCTGCACTGGCATTAAGACTGTAATTCTGCATTGTAGGAAAGATCTGAGGTTTCCCTAAAAAAAGTTCTCTCCCAATTGATCCCTTAATACTTTATCACCTTTTTTTTACACCATGAGTAATGATTGAAACATCTCCATTTTCATATTTTTTTTATTTTTTTTTTTTAATGTGCAGCCTGACCGAGACTCAAACCTGGGACCATAGGAATACCGTACTGCGGCTCTACTGACTGAGCTATCCGACCGCCTACAAACTACCTCCCCTGATTAGAGAACAGTTCAATACCGTGACATAATCATTTTCGGAATAATTTGGGATTCGAACATACCACAACTTTGGGTCTCCTGAAGAGTTTTTCAACATCATTTTTACCCTATCTTACTACTATGTTTACCTTTTAGCCCTAATTGTTATGGAATGTCATTGCGGGAGGTCTGTTGTACAAGATTTTCTAAATCCTTTACATCTAGTATTAAGGTTTACAAATTCAAGAAATAGTAGCCTTCACATATTAAGATTGGCTTGTACATCTTTGTTTTACTTGGTGTTGTACTTCAAAACCTTACCGTCTGTTGAGGCCTTAAGAGATGCATAGACTCAATTTATTCGAAACCATTTAGTGGCCTCTTAATTACAGTCACACAGAGATAAACTGTGGTTGCAATTCTGATACCTTAAACCCTTAAAACAACCCTTCAGTCACAAGGGGGTCAAACGAATTATATGAATTTAAATACTTTGAATTGATGATGAAAACTTATTTCTTACATACTAACTACATATTTATAAATGATCGCGTATATACGTTCTATATATGTAAAACTATTTAATGAGTACCTATATACTATCTAATGATTACTTGAACGGAAGTTCTATTTGATAATTATCTATATATCATACATGATGATGACGCGTCTGTGGTCAAGTGATCAAAGTCCTTGACTTCGAATCACTTGCCTCTCACCGCTGTTCCGCTCAAGGTTTAAGCCGCGCAAGCGTCTTCGAATTATTTCATGTGAACGTCAGTGAGTTTTACTTAGGCGCCCGTTTGTTACTTAGGTGCCCGTTGCCTGAAATAATGCAAAAATGGGCATCTTAGGTCTTCTTCCACCAGTATAAGCTGATAAGTTACCATATATGCCTATACTATGTAGGTGCGGCGTACAACCACCATTTTCTTCTTCATCAGCATATCAAATACAAATGTAAATGATTACAATAAATGCAAAGTTGTTTAACAAACCACGAAGAAACATACTTTTTTGAAACACCGTCACTTCCTCAAGTCAGTTTTCATTGAAAGCTACTATTTTGTACATTTAAAAGCTCGACTTGGAAAATATTTTACATTTTACCTGCTGGAACCGAAACTGATTTGCGTTTTAATCAAGTTTGTATAGAGCCGGGCCAGGCCGCATATCAGTGCTGTCTGACCAATTTCTGTACTATTGGTAGGTCAATATGTTTGTTTTTAAGTTTTAAATCTATGAAACTATTCATTGAACTGGTCCAAATTCAAAGCTAGTCAAATCTTTTACATAAATTCCGCAGGTCAACCCTAAAATGCTATTTTTTTCCCAAAATTATTTATCTTTGGTACAGTTTTCAAGAAAGTCAGTAGCTGGCCATTTAACTGTATCACTTTTTGTTTCTTTTAAGATTTCGTTTTCGCAATTAGTACAGTTAAAGTGATTAAGTATTTTGTATCCAAGTCGAAAATGCATCTTTGTTTACATTCTGCTTACTTTGTTATAAATTATTTCACATTCAGCGGCAAGTATATTTATTTTCTTCAAGTGATATTCATTTCACGTGCCCTAAATCCATTATTATAATGTTTGTACTTTCTACATAAAGAGAAATCTTTTCATTTCTGAGGCCTTATCTATAAGTATAGATTTGATAGTGGATTTTTTAAAATTATTTTTTATCCGTGGTTTTGTATTTGGTATCTGAGCCTAAGGGTGGAGTTGCCAAATCCTGATACTGCCACATCTTTAATTGAGGAAAATGTGGCGGAATGCACGTAATTTTACTTAATTTATCAAAATCATATCTTAAGATTTGCTACGTGTTATTCCACTTCCCTGTCCCCGTTAGATAAACTTTCATTCCTTTCCTGACATAAGATTACTTCGCGCGACGACCCTGCTAAAAAGGTACTCTGTTATCTTTTCAGGGGACAAAATTACGGAAGAGCAATATTGCCAAGTGTGAGTTTTGTGACTTGCGTAACTCGAAATTTCGACTTATTAACTCAAAATTTCGTCTCACTAAATCAGTCGAAATATCGATTAAGTTAGTCAAAATGTCGAGTTTATAAGTCGACATTTCGAGTTAAAATGTCGTAATTTTGGGTTAGTAAGTCGAAATCTCGAGTTACAGAAGTCGAAATTTCAAGTTAGTTAGTTGAAATTTCGAGATAAGTATAAAACATACCTGAAACTAATGCACTTCCGTTTAAAATACCATAAAACGGGGGCATTTATTTTCCGGTTTAAAATTTACCGTAAAATAATGAGTAAAAAATAACGTAGTTTCGTTTTGATGTGGTAGTATGTATTATAAATACATATATACATGTAAATTATATTAAGTTTGTCTGTATTTCAAGGATAATTAAAGAGGCACTTTATATTTTTATCAAATGAAACATGTGCCCTTCCTATATTGTAATTTCCTATATTGTAATGTTTACCATATATGGATAGATAGATTAAACAAAACAGGTTTCGGTTTCATAATCTATTACATAATGATGCTGCCAGGTGAATTTAGGTGGGGCTTTTCAGCTAGTGGCTAATATATACTAGCTGAACAATAGCGAGTCAATATATTGCATATAAGATTATACTTAAGTTTTTTTTCCTCAGCAATATTTTATAACAATGATTTTTCCTCGAATCAGACGACAACGTGTGGTTAAACTGAATGCTATATCATTGCTATGGTGTTCTGATAGGACTTGTTTCTCTACAGTACTGTACGACTGTATATTTTTTCTTTAACATCGCAGTGCGTATCCAACACCGTAGCAATATTACGATTGTCCAAACGGAACACCATACATTGTCTCGGTTTAAAATACGGACATATAATCCATTATAATTATGTGGTTAATGTTTTGCTTTCAAACTATGTGGCTATATGTTAAGGGGAATAAATTGGGAGTGTATTATCTGAAGTAAATGGTCGTTGATAAATACTTATTACTAAAATTATCATTCCATATATAGTCTTATTTTTACTAAAAGAGATCATGGTCTGAATTTATAAACACATTTTCTTGCTCAGTCTCAGATCTTAAGGATTTGTTTGGTCAAAAACCAACATAACATGTACAGTGACCAATAGAAATTCTTAAATTTGAGAAAGAACTTACCTGGAGGACACTGTAAGTAATTATACATTGAAATAAAAAAACAAGCTCCCGGCCTTTACCTTTAAGAATCTCTTGCATATGATTTTTGAAGCATTGAAATGACAGGTTAAATCACTTTGAAAATTCATGAAAACTTACTGAATATATCTTTTATTATTTTGTAGGAGCGAACACGTCTTTTATGAACTCTGTTTTCCTATTTTTTTTTCTCTTTCTTTAATTTAATCATATGGATTTCTATTTTTCTTTTTTGCTTTTGTAAAGAGAAATTTGTATGTATATCTGAAGATAATATGAAATTAATTAAAATTAATAAATATATTATAAGGCTGAGGGTTGCAATGAGGATAGTACATCGTAATAACCGAATGCTAACTACGCCCATGTAGGTTTCGTAAATCGGGAAAATGCTTGACCTGTCCTTAATGGCTTTGTTACGAAATCGAAAGTTGGAAAAGAACTTTCATTTTCGAAAAAAGCAGGAAGTCATTAACTTGGTCAACTGGAAGCTCATATCTGATTTTTTATTAGCTGCCAAATAAAATAAGAAGATCTTAACATTTGTCAAATTGCTGTTAACATTAGGTATACTTCATTTTTGTCTCCTATTAAGATTCTGCGAACGAGGTTTAAACGACATTTCTAAACAAAACTTATTTTCTGAGAAGCCAAAAGCACTATAATTTGTGCTACGAAAAGTGTTATTCTAAACCCTATTTTTTTTTTTGAGGAAAGTATGCGGATGCTGATTGTTAAGTCTCACAGCGGTTGTTAAACTATAAAATATATATATATATATGGCGTAGAATAGAGGTCAAAACTCTAAATTACAAAATTACTCAATTACAAAATAACTACTGACTAAATAGCGTACAGTGCAGACATGGATATGCCGGTACTGGTCTGCACTTGTAGCATGATAAAGATTAATCACCTTTGTTTTTTGTGCAATGTCTTTAATCATTTGCATCTGACCGCTTTGGTTCGAATCTTGAAAGGAACTCTCATTTATTTCACGTGTTAAAGCTTACGGACGGTCGGTGGTTTGACTCAGATCATCATATGACTTAACGTGTGACTCGACAATGACAAAAAGTTGCAAAGGTCGCAATAAAAGTAAGATGTATTCACTTCAAGTACTCAGTATTATCATTGCTTTAACAATGAACTGAATATTCGGAGACCTTGTTTGATAATGTCGGTTATATACATGTACATGTACTTATATAAAGTTAACCTTAACTCACCTAGCTAGAGGGGTGAGTAAACGATGAAGGCCGAAACAAATTATCATTTGTTACCTAGAGACCTGGTGACATAAACTTGGTGATCTAGATATAATTGAAGTTTTTAACAGGTTATTTTTTTTAAACGAATACCATAAATATACATGTTGTTTTAGATATAGATTTATATTTATAAAAAGACTACATTAATTCGAAAACGAACAAGTAGACTATCGAATGTGAAATTCATTCTTCCGTTTGTAAATATATATATTTTTAATTTGATGATAGTTTGTAGAGGGGTTAAAAGTAGAAATACTAGCCGATATTTTATGTTCCGCACTTCAGTCAACAACGCTTTACCACAGTGCGGGAAATTTTGCGAAGCATTGATTCTCGGGTCGGTGATGATTCATGGAAATTTCTCTTATTGCCACTTTCCGGGTGCAACCGAGTGATGCATTATTTTATTACTGTTTGGAAACGAATATTTTTACAACTTTTTGACGTAGAATATATTTAATAAAGGGGCTAAGTACGTTTTGTGTCGACTCACTACAATTGATTATCACCGTTTATCTTCAGTGTATGCGTACTTGTGTTGAATTATCGTTATCAAAATTTTAATACAGGTTGAATCTTGTTGATTGATTAAACGGTATCAGAATATTTTAAAAGGATTTTTTTTTAAAACTCTAGCTATTAACACCCTTAATAAATGAGCATTGGCAATGATTCAACAAAAAGATCTTTGTCAAAAGTAATGAATTTCTGTTATTTTGATACAAAAAAAGTGGAAAAAAGTAAGAAACTGAATTTAACTATAAGTTATTGATTTTATGTTGATAATTGTAACAGTTCTGTCGATAATTTATAAATGAGAATACATCTGCGTGAAAAATATAAATAATTTGATGCTTCCGTGGTTTTTTTACATTAAAGGGGCTCCACTGAGGTACTAAAAGCATATAACATAACATTTGAAAATCTTATCAAGATAAACCGAGGCACTTGAAATGAAAAAAAAAGAGTAAAAGGTGATAAAGTAATAAAATATACTGACCCCCCCCCCCCCCCACGAATATTTTGTGGGATTGTCAGCCCGATTCGAGTTTTCATTTTAGGCCATTTTGCACAATAACAATGCTTATTCGGGAGAATTGGAGTGAGTAAATGACCGGAAATTCAGCACACATGTTAATACTTTAAACTTTAGTCAAATGGTATACAAATTTTAAAGAAATACTTTCAGTCCCACCATATCACCAACAGCTACGAGTCCCTTTAAACGTTCACTATTGTGATTTTTCTATATACATGTACATGTAAATGAAATGATATATGATCAATAAAAACTATTAATCAACAAAAATGTAATGAAGGAAAAGGAATGACTCTAATAAGTGTTTATTACAAAACGCTTTAACCCGGGTTTTATAAAGAGGAAACAATAAGTCATTAAATATTTTGTTCTTGTTTTTAGACAAATAGATCACAGATCTTTCAATGATAAATATGAAAGTCCGGTTTTTAAACAGTAAAGAGTTTTCTGCACGAATCAATTATTTTTGTAACATCTCATCTTTAAAAATTCCGAGCGGACCAGTTATTCATAGTTCATGACCAGTTATTCATAGTTAAATGTATAAAATACATTGGTCTGACCAAAGTCATTAAATAATTAAATATGTAATTAAAAATTACAGGTATGATAAAATAGTAAAAACGCAGAGAAAAAGAGGAAACAATGTTTATAGAACTGTCCTTCATTTTATTTTTCGCTGTTTCAGGGTATTCCATACGTTGGTCCGATCCCTGGAGGTTTGCACGATGGCTTGCAGATCCACGTGTCCGGCACACCGGAACAGCACCATAATGGGTAAATTAGTACTTCTATTTATCGGAACTAGTTATATACGCTTTAAAGTCATGCGCGAGACCTATTGTACTTGTTCAACGCGTGACTCAAGTTTACTATGCAAGATATTGTACAAATCTGTTAAACTCAAGTTGATTTGAATCATAAACTCTCTTAACAACTGATAATATATGGATATGTAAAATGTTTGGTTCGTGAATTTATGTTAAAATTGTATACTTTGTCACATGACTTCCTTCTATCGTTTTCTATGCAACAAAACCATTACGAATTTCTTCCTGGACATGTATACACGTAAAATATAACGGCCACTTTTGTTATAAACATTAACTGTTTGTTTATGTAAATAAAGTTGTAAACAAATTGTTATTGTTAAATTTAGTCATGCATTAAATAGTATCTGACATCCGCCGTAATTTGATATAAACTTTTGTGAAATTCGTCAAGGAAACAAGTTTTCTTAAATTCGTTTTATGAAAAATTACATCAAACGAAAGATCATGTTAGATTCTATAAAAATATAAATTATATTTCAGTCAAATTCTATATACATGTATATTATATTTCAGATTCTTAATATCTCTTCAAGCTGGAGGAAGCATTGATCCAAGAAGTGATTGTGCCTTTGTCTTTAATCCAAGATTTACTGATAATCAAGTGAGTTTTTATTGAATTTTAAGTGCAAAAAACGCGAGTTGCCTCCCCTTACGGTTTATTTTTTCGAATACCTAATTTGCCTCCCTTGACAATAATAATTATAGTTGCAAGTTCTGAGTTACTGTCATTTCAGTACTCGAGTTACCTCCCCTAACAATTCATGCACGTATATTTCGTGTTTTTTTTTAAAAATTTCTTTGAGAGTATTGAAACTAGCCTATGCAAAACGTATAGCAATTGTGGTTTTGTTGAAGAGCGTCCGCCTTGTAGTTAATAGTTCAAAGTTCGATTCAAAGCCGGCCAAACAATATTATTAAAAATAAACTATGCTCAAACGTGATAGTAGTAAATATTGATAATTACTACACAGGCTCTTTATAAATGTAAAATAAACATGTTTTGACTCAACACAAAGTAGAAGTTACGTAGCTATAGGTGGTCACAATATGAATATATAGTGTCATTAAAAAAACGAGCATTTTTTTAGCTCACCTGTCACAAAGTGACAGGATGAGCTTTTGTGATCGCTTTTCGTCCGGCGTCCGTCCGTCCGTCCGTCGTCCGTCCGTAAACTTTTGCTTTAAATGACATCTCCTCATAAACCAGAGCCAATTTCATCCAAACTTCACAGGAATGTTCCTTTGGTGGTCACCTTTAAAAATTGTTCAAAGAATTTAATTCCATGCAGAACTCTGGTTGCCATGGCAACAGAAAGAAAAATCTTTAAATATCTTCTTTTAAACAACCCTAAGAGCTAGAGCTAAGATATTTGGCATGAAACATCTTCTAGTGAGTGTCTACCAAGTTTGTTCAAATAAAAGCCCTGGGGTCAAAATTGGCCCCGCCCCAGGGGGTCATTGATTTTCCATATATGCATATAGTAAAAACTTAAAAATTCTTCTTTTAAAGAACCCAAAAGAGCTAGAGCTAAGATATTTGGCATGAAACATCTTCTAGTGAGTGTCTACTAAGTTTGTTCAAATAAAAGCCCTTGGGTCAAAATTGGCCCCGTCCCGGGGGGACATTGATTTTCCCTATATGCATATAGCAAAAACTTAAAAAATCTTCTTTTAAAGAACCCAAAGAGCTAGAGCTTAGATATTTAGCATGAAACATCTTCTAGTGAATGTCTACCAAGTCTGTTCAAATAAAAGCCCTGGGGTCAAAATTGGCCCCGCCCCAGGGGGTCATTTATTTTCCCTATATGCATATAGTAAAAACTTAAAAAATCTTCTTTTAAAGAACCCAAAGAGCTAGAGCTAAGATATTAAGCATAAAACATCTTCTAGTGAGTGTCTACTAAGTTTGTTCAAATTAAAGCCCTGTGGTCAAATTTGGCCCCACCCCGGGGGGTCATTGATTTTCCCTATATGCATATAGTAAAAACTTAAAAAATCTTCTTTTAAAGAACCCAAAGAGCTAGAGCTAAAATATTTAGCATGAAACATCTTCTAATGAGTGTCTACCAAGTTTGTTCAAATAAAAGCCCTGGGGTCAAAATTGGCCCCGCCCCAGGGGGTCATTGATTTTCCCTATATGCATATAGTAAAAACTTAAAAAATCTTCTTTTAAAGAACTCAAAGAGCTAGAGCTAAGATATTTAGCATGAAACATGTTCTAATGGGTGTCTATCAAGTATGTTCAAATAAAAGCCCTGGGGTCAAAACTGGCCCCGCCCGGGGGGGGGGGGTCATTGATTTCCCCTATATGTGTATAGCAGAAACTTAAAAATCTTCTTTGAAAAAACCCAAATAGCTAGAGTTTAGATATTAAGCATGAAACATCTTTAAGTAAATATCTACAAAGTTTGTTCAAATAAAAGCCCGGGGGTCAAAACTGGCCCTGCCCCAGGGCTGTCATTGTTTTTAACTATATGTGTATAGTAAAAACTTTAAAAATCTTCTTTTAAAAAACCCAATGAGCTAGAACTTAGATGTTTAGCATGAAACATCTTCTTATGGGTGTCTACCAAGTCTGTTCAAATAAACAAATAAAAGCCCTTGGGTAAAAATTGTCCTGGGGGTGGGGGGGCCTATATACAGGTGAGCGACCTCAGGGCCATCATGGCCCTCTTGTTTTAAAGAAAAGACCAACTTTACTGGACCTGTAATAGGGAACGCAGTTTTTAATAAATAGTTTATTCATTCTCAAATTCAAATTAGACATATTCTGTAAGAATTTCATAGATTTCAATAAATTTCTGCGATTAAGATATTTTACTTAAGGATGAGCATAGTTTATCTTTAAAATTTAGGGTTCAGGTTTAAAAGAGTAGTCCCGGGCGGTGTCTGGGGCCAGCATCATATCAGTGTATTTGCGTAGTGACATTTCAATGAATAAATAAGTGTAAGAAGTAACATCATTTTAAGTAAAACATCTATTTTCTTCAACTTTATTTTCAACTGATACTCTTTTCATTTCCAGCGTTGCATTGAATTAACTATATATTTCAAAAGATTGTCAATTTTAATAACTAAAAGTTACAAATATTTCACAATTTACATTGTGAATGCAAATAATGCTTGAAATAAAAGACTGCCGTACTCTGTTTGTAATTCACTTTTTGCCGATTATTTTTCTACGTGTATTAAAAAAGCTTCATATCGCAAAAATACCTTGAATAAAAAAGTTTCATATGTTGACGTCCTCTTCACAATCATTTTTTTCAAATTGTCTGAAAGTTTTTTTATGAGGCATACGTGTTAATGTGTTTTTTATGCATATAATTATTGTTCATTATTTTTAATATTATACTATATTATACTATTAAACTGTATTTCAGGTTGTAAGAAACAGCTGTCAAAACAATTCTTGGGGAGCGGAGGAAAGGCACGGAGGGTTTCCATTCCGTAAAGGACACCATTGTGACGTCGTGATCCACGTTAAACCTCACCACTATTCCGTAAGTAATAAAATTTTGAATTTTCGTCGAGAAATCGTCTACTTTGTAATAAAACGTCAAGTAACTCACTTTGCAGGATCAAATGTAAACATAAAATATCGTTTCGTTGCCTCGGCCTTCTACGTTTGTTTACGGTCGCCTTTGCGAAGATACGATGACCCCAAAGAAACACTGTATTTTTAACATAGGTTTAGCTCAGATTTGGCAAAAGTTTTAAGACTAATTTCTCTAAACTGGGGTGTTACGCGGAAGAGGAAAATCCTCGTTTGATTTCCTTGGGTCAGCCACCTTTCTATCTTAATGCAGTGAATCATGACGCATGAATTCCAGTTTGGTAATTTTGTCAATATTTCATTGGACGTACACATGAAGCTTTATAGTTTTTACTAAGTTTGCACCTTGCACAGATCGGCCTATGCTTCAGCGCATTTTGTACTCAATAAATTTCGAACCATATTTTGGTTTTTAGACATGATGCAATATTCTATTATTTCAGGTGTCGGTGAACGGAGCACATTTCTGTGACTTCAATCACAGGCTGCAGAAACATCGTGTGACCCACATCACTGTGGAGCAAGGCATCCGAGTGAACAACATTCGTTTTGAAGTAAGTGTAATAAATTTCTTTTTCAAGTAAATATAAAAGAGGTCAGCATTTGATATTATCATGATCATCTTGATCTTTCTTTCTTTCTTTCTGTCTTCTTTTTCTAATTCTTGAATTAATATAGAATTATTTATTTGGTTTCCGGGTTTAACTTAGTGAAAACTTTTAAGTGTACAGGTAAAAGCTTATATATCATATCACACACCCGTGTCGCTTTTGCTTTTGAGTTGTCAAAACACTGTGCAAAGACGGTCTAAGCGTTTGCGTTACACTATGTGCGCGTAAATGAAAAAGTGATTCTTTTCCACTGTAAAAAGTTCTTACTTTGGGTATGTGATAATTATTATATTTGAGTAATGCAATACTAAATTTATTGAATTCGTTGAATTTAACAATACTAGTACAAGTGTAATGCTCGCGAGAATTTCGCATAATTTGATTTTATTCAACTTGTTTAATAAATGTAGTATTGAACCCACACTCGTTTAATATCCTTTTTCCAAGATATATTCTGTGTTAACTTAATAAATTGAACACTTGCTTGATCAAAGTCACCAGACAACAAAAATGAAATAATTATTAAACAGCAGCACTATCATCTAGGTAATTTGAAATAATACAGTCATTCATGAAACTACATGAAAGAATAAGCCTTTTTACATACGTGTTCTTTTATTAAATCGTCTTATGACAAACCACGAAAATTTCAGTATACCATTTGTATTTAAGTCTGATTATGTTCACTCGTGTAAGATTAGTGTTTTTGTTTTACTAACTTTCAGAAAAGTTATAATGCCAAAATTAGAAAAAGGAAACATGAAACATGTACATGCTTTGTAAAGTATCGTTCAACAGTTATTTTTTCTGGTTAACGTTTATTTTTTTGTCAACAAAATTACATGACATGTCAGACCGAATGTCTAACACTTTCATTCTAAACTTTCAGAAAGTTTGAAAACCACGTAAATATCATTTTTCATTTGGGTCTTATTTATATATTCTGTTTATATTTTGTTTACCTTAGTTTCAGAAAAATTATAGCGGCAAAAATGGAAAAAGGAATAAATGCCGTGTAAAGTATTATTCAACAGTTAATATTTTCTGGTTACAGTTTTATTATAATATTGGCCAAACGGTCGGCTTGAAAATGGGGCTTTGTCAATGTTATCATGATTTTAACTGTTTTTGTTAGTAACTTTATGTGTGCTTATGACTAATTTATTTTCACACAGACATATGGAGGTCAGAAGTATCCCCCGGCTTTAACTGCCCCTGTAAACGGTCATTTTTTTTAACGTTTTCAAACAAATGAAGCATCTGCCTTAAAATTAAAAATTGTTTTAAACCATTACTTCAAGAGTAAAGAATCCCATGTACCATCAAGTCTAAAAAAGTAAAGATTTCAGACCGTGTAGTGGGGCGGTTCAAACCGGGGGATAAGGTCTGAATCCCAAGGAACCGGGAGAGGTTCTAACACATGTAACACCCAAGTGTTTGTTGCTTGTTACACTGCATGACACTACTATATACATACTTTAATTTGACATAGTCCTTATGAAAGTGTGTTTTTTTTTCTTCATGCATCAAGTATAACAAAATTATGCTGAAGAAATCGTGATAACGAATCTGTTTAATACATTTCTACTCGTTTTTGAAAAGTAAAGTTTGCAAAGAAAAATGAAAATAAGAAAGCTTGATTGAATGCAATTTGAAATCCATCCAGTTCCAAACTTATTTTTAACTGCAAGCCTATGCGTGTTATAATTTAATGATTCGTTGATATTTTAAAATTATGGAATAGGTCATTTGTGAATAATTTGCTACAGTATTTTTCTTTCCATTAACAACTTTGTTTATTTCAGAACGTGCAACACTATAAATTTTGAATTGTTTCAATTCGTTTGTTTTAAACTTAAATCGTCGATTACACTTTGATTTTCAGTGTTGTTTTATTTGCTTCATGTGTTATTAATGTAAAAATCATTTTTTGCAACTAAGATACACTCATCAGTATGTCGTGCAAGTTCGGCAAACATCGTCATTTTCCGTATCTGATATTTGTTCATGACACGATTAGTTTGCTTCAAGAAGTATAACGAACGCTTTATATATTTTTTATCTTTACGTAAAGTGACGAAGTTTACCGAAATTTTACGATTTTATGATGAATGTTTTATGAAAAGAACATGTTCGGAACTGGTGTTTCAGGGGCGGCATGGCGGTCATGGTGGTGGTATTGGGGCTGCGCTGGGTCAATTTGCCGGGGCACTTTTTAATGAATTTAGCGGCGGCCATGAAAGACCACATCACAAACATCATCCACCCCATCAACATCCACCACCCGTATGTGAAGTATTGAAAAAAGCAACCCACATTTAAACTCCTTTTTTAACTAACATGCCTTCCGCTTATTTACGTTTAAAACCTGTATAATCAAATAGTATGTTTCATTTATTAAATCGTGGCCATCATATTCAAATTTTATTTACATAGACATTGTATTGTAAAGACACTGAAAAGTTTTGATATTTCTCTGTCATTGCAATTCTTTTTCTTGTGTGTGTGTAGGAAATGATCAGATATTTTGGATATTTACCCGAAACTAAATATATGGTAGCTTTGTATGTATTTTTGACTCTCCGAATGGTTGTTAGAAAGTTGAAAATAAATCGTTGACAATTGGCGCGAATAAAATTTTGTGAAAAATCTAAACATATGACCGACATTTAATTGTGCATTTTTAAAATTGCCATTGTTTGCACTGTGTGATAGTGATATTTTCAAAGGGATCAGGTTAATTCTGGAGTATCTTGCACCTTAATCAAGATTGTCCATATTGGTTTATTTCAGTCTGATTGTTGATGGGTGAGGGAAAACATAAATTGTTGTCAGTTTTTATTTTTGAGCAATGCAGATTGTAATTTTCTTCAATGTACATGTATGTCATATCTGCAACTGGTTTCCTGCGGGTGTACATGTTTTTTAAGTATTTGGAATATTTTGGCCACACTGAACTTTAGAATTACTCCTTTTTAGATCCCCTGCCTCCCCTAATGAATCTGCATAAAATAACTTCAACTTCGATATGTTAGCTTTTCACGTTAGCATATTGACTTGCCTGGCTTTGAATTTCCAAATATATCCGTTGCTCCTTAAAACAAAATGTAAAGAACGTAAACGAATCTCAAACTTCACAGTTGTGCCGGCTGGCACGGCTCTTTACTGGTAGCACTGGCAAAGAATTATCTTCATTAGCTTTATAGAAATTTCATATCTGTAAAATGTGGCTTTTTCAATACTTCATAGAGAAATATACTTAACGCCAGTACATATTTGTTATTTCTAAGCTTTGCATCGTGAATTCCGAATAAAATGATGCAAGAATTAATTGGTTTAAACGTTTCGACTTAGTAATTTAAATTTCAATTTACTCTGCCCATGCCACTTTAATGGCTTGTTCATTTATTGAAGTTATTAATGAGCAAATCTTTCAAAGATTTAAAGTTTTACTATGACAGTTAGCAACAAAAGTGATAAACTAAGCGGAACGAAAATATAAAACGAAAAGAGGAAGAAGAAGAAAGACAAAACAGGGAAGCACCCTATTATGTAAAAAGGCGTTAAGTATTTTTCATTTTCTAAAACTGCAAGTATAAAATACTAATCTTACGCATTGTGGCACTGTTTATGTCGCAACGATGCTAAATGCCGTACTTCCCGCTAAATGTCGCACTGTTGACGCTATATGTCACAACCATCTCTAAATGTCTCAGAACATTTTGCCGTTAAATGTCGCAAAACTACCGTTAAATGTTAAATGTCGCAAAACTACCGTTAAATGTCGCACCATTTACCTTTACCGTTAAATGTCATAACACTACCGTTTAATATCCCAATATCTAAATGCATATTATGTAATAGTTATAGTACTAGTATATGAAACGAGTTTGTTACGAGGATATAACACTGGCTGGGGCTACATCGAGGGGATGTTTCTGCTAAGAAATGTCGAGGCTGTTAGGCGATTTCTTTTTGCAGAAACATCCCGAGATGCTACTTCCGAGCTTAGCACTTTCCTATGTATGTTACATACATAACATTACCTTTCCCATTACAAGTAGTATATTTGGCAAAAATGCCTCCAGGTTAAACCGTTAATAATCAAGTGTGAAGTATGTCTCCAATATCTGACGCATATAAAACGTTTTAGAAACGTTCATGTTTTGCAAAATTAGAATAATTCTGCCATAAACATAGAATGAAAAGTCGAAAAAACTGTAAACTCAAAATTTTCCAAAAAATTAAATCTGCTCTAACTAATATTTCAAAGCGAACTTAAAAGGACGTTACCTGATACCCCGCTTGGTTTGCGTTACTACTGTCGTATATAAACCAATATATTATCTGTTAAATTTAGCCAACTTATCAATTACGATAAGAATATGGTATATTTTAAAGTCTGCCCTTTTTCAAAGGGCGGACAATTCTTTGTCCTTTTCTCGAATGAGAAGGGGAATCCTGTGATGCGTGTATGTGGTAGCACGGTCACTTTCCTAACAACATGTCCTCGATGCATGTATGTGGTCGCATGGTCGAAAATTTTTATTAAAATGACAACGTTTTTAAAGGTGTTGAGGTACGGACCCGTCTGATGCAAAATCTTAATGGTCTTAAAAAATCTTTTGAAATCGTAATTACGAGATCCTATTTAGGATTTTGTTACTTTTGTTTAGGAGTTTAAATGCCTAATACAGACTTTTTCATTAAGAGCTGTAAAAGCCTAATTAGGACTCTCATTCTTCTAAATATGAGAGATAAAAATCCTTAATACTATTTGTTGTTACTAGGTACAAGCAAATTTTAGGGGATATAAACTTGTTAGTAATAACACATTCATCTAAATAAGAAGTATTTAATGTTTCATTTGTAGAATTTAAAATATTATTAGGAGTTGAGAAATAAAATCTTAATTACAAGCAGCTTAAAAAACCTAAATATAAAATGAAAACATAATTTGTACTGTGTACCTTCTTATTAGATGTTCTTAATACTTCGAAGAAATCAGAAGTTTTTTCCTAACAAGCTAAATATTTTTTTATCGATTTTAAAACTTTTTTTTACGATTTCAATATTGTTTTAGAACATTAAGATTTTGCACTAGCTGGTTCCGTTCCAATACACCTTTGAAAACGTTGTCGTTTCTCTTAGAGATTTTCGACCATGCGACCATATACATGCATCGATGACACGAAAGGAAAGTGACAGTGCGACAACAATACACGCATAATCGGATTCCTCCTTCTCTTACGAGAAAGGGACAAATTGTTGTCCGTCCTTTTTATGCCATTACCTTATTGTTACTGATAATAAGGTTTAGTCTTGAATTGGTTTATATACAGCAAAAGTAATGCAAACCAAGCGGGAAATCAGGTTATGTCCTTTAAAATCCGCTATGCAATTTTCAAAAAGTAAATGTTTTGGAAAATTTTGAGTTTCATGTTGTTTTTTTTTCTTCATTTTTTACATTTTACATTTTGCATTTTACGGAATTATTTTAATATTGCAAAACATAAACATTTTAATTAAGTATTATAATTATATTTCACACTTTGTATTCAAATATTAACCTGGGAGCAATTTTGCCTTAGTACGCATATAAATTTTTATATTCGACTTATTCTTTTAGAAATAAAAATATAATGTGATGGGTTGCAAGAAAAATAGATTAAACTTGACCAGCCGAAAATTTTGACGCTGGTAAGACTGTACATGTTTAGAAATATCTGCTTACCTGCTGAATTTGTAAATTCACTTTTCAAGTTTCCTTTCTTAACTGTCTATCAATCTTGGATGTAAAAGGCAGACATTTCGAAAGTTAGTCAGCCATAAGTACAGGGCCGGTTAAGTCTGCACAGATGTACATGAAGCCTGGCAACATGTATGTTGATACTGGTAAAATCATTTTAGGTTCCAGCGGTGTAAAGCAAATTCTATTATACTGTTTTCAATCTGCCTTTATGTCTATGAAACTGTAGTGTGTTAGATCAATCTCAAACTGATGTCGTAGTTAAAAATCACGACATCTAATTTGTTATGAAAAACGTATACAAAGATGCCTTACAGTTAGAGGCCTTTTGGCATATAAATTATGGTCGTCAATTTATAATACCAACTCAGATGACTTCAATTTCAACCAATAACTTTGTACATCACAACAAAACCTTTCCTATTTTATAAATAGCTAGTCACCAGATCATTCACCAGATCATCCACTTGACGCTAGTATTGACTTGATACCATTTGGTATACATGAAATTACACGGTGCATATCCATAGCGGTACTTTCCTTGCGAAATCTGCTCAAACGGTACCCTCTTTGAACATGCACAGGTCATTCTCTGCTAAAAACAAACCTGCAATGGATAACAATCCAGTAAATTTTCACTGTCATAAGGAAAAGAGGTATGACACGTAGAAAAGATGTATACCACGGAACACTATGATGTTTTATTTATGTGCTGATTTGTCATGTGCCCGATTTTCATGTACTGCAACTTCACAAACCGACATGTCTTGCCTCGCCCATCACCACGACATATTTTTCGGGCTGAAATGAACCTGTGTGATTATATATGCATCATACATATTTAATATGTTCATATCATCTTCGGACAAATGGTAGTATATTGTCAAAAATAAATGTAAAATTCATAAAAACACTCTACTTTCGGTTTTGCAGCTGCACTGGCTACTTCTCTTCATTTGAATTTTTATATCACAGGTACCCTCTCATTTTTGAACACAAAGGTACCCTCAAAGCACGACATATGCTTTTATTTGCGTTTATCGTTAAGTATGTATGTAATATTTATTACTTTTATGTAAATATTACATACTTAGCGATTAACGCACCTAAAAGCATATGTCGTGCTTTGACGGTACCTATGTGTTAAAAAATGAGAGGGTACCTGTGATATAAAAATTCGAATGAAGTGAGGTTCGATCTCCGGGAGATGCTTTGGTAGTTTAGCGCGGTGGAAGGTAGTCTAGTACTGGTGTTACTCTCCAGGAACTATGGTTAGGAAACTGCCCGCCTATATGACTGAAATACTGTTGGGAAAAGGCGTAGAATGAAACAAACAAAAAACAAAAGCGACATTTAACGCCGGTGCTGCGACATTTAACGGTAAGGGAAAGTGATGCGACATTTAACGTAATCATTGCCACATTTAACGGCAAAACACTTTGAGACAATTAGCGGCGGTTGCGATATTTAGCGTTAACAGTGCGACATATTAAGTGACATTTAGCGTCGTTGCGGCATTTGACAACGCAACGCGCATATTTGTTGATATGATAGATCCCTAATTTTTGTTTCAGCATGGTGGAGGTAGTGGCTACCCGCCATCTGGAGGGGCCAGTTATCCATACCCCGGGGGCGGCCCAATATTCAACCCGGTAAGTAATCAGCATTTACTTTTTTTGACATTACAAAGAAAGAAGTTCGTTTTTGCATCTGTTATTATCATCATATTGATTTGCATAAAGTTTAGGTTAAATCATTTTGATTCATAGTTGTTCTATTGGCGGCACATTGGTTCTATACTCTCGTATATACACGTTAGTGCATAAGATTCTTCTTATTAAATTTGTCCTTTTAAAAGTGTATACAGTAACGTTGTTTCTTTGCATTTTTTCGAATTTTGTCATTCCGTTTTTGTTTCTTTAATACTGTATACCATTTCGTTGTTTCTTTGAAAATTTTCGAAATTTCGTCTCTAACATGTCCTTTCTGTTTATTTTGCAGCCGGTACCATTCGTTCAGGGTATGGGAGGCATCTATCCAAACAAGATGATCTTCATCAGCGGAGTGCCACATCCAAATCCAAGCAGGTAAAAATCACGTGGTTACTTCATTTAAATCATGAGCTAAAAATCTATTTAAAAAGTAATCATGACACAATTTTCATTTTAATTACAAAATATTTTAATAACAAATCAAATAACAAATCATGTAATTTAATTTCATAAAACGAATTAATCGAATCTGTTTTGTCCTGAATATAAAGAAAAATAACTTTATTCAAATATCTTTATTTTGATTTTCAATGAAATTTCATTAACGAACTACTTATTACAAATATGAATCTAACATTTAGTGGCAATAACGATTAGATATTCATTATTATAAACGTTAAGCAGTATTTCGTCTACATTCGGTAAACATCGTTATTTTCAGCTTTGGATTAAAGTTTATTATGTTACGTAACTTGACGAAAAGTGACGAATTTTCACGAGAATATGATAACTGTTTTGATTTAAGCGAACAATAATTTAGTCCATGCATCAGGTGCACACGGAGATTATGGTGGCGGTACTGCCGTTGCATCGGGTCATATAGGATTATTCATGATGCAGCTTTCTTTATAGAATATATTTGAGCCCCAACATGACAAAACCAACGTTATGCGTTTGCGACCAGCATGGATCCAGACCAGCCTGCGCATCCGCGCAGTCTGATAAGGATTTATGCTGTCGCTTACAAACCCTATTACAAGTAGAGAAACTGGTAGCGAACAGCATGGATCCTGATCAGACTGCGCGGATGCGCAGGCTGGTCTGAATCCATGCTGGTTGCAAACCCAATATGTTGGTTTTGTCGTGACGCGGTTCATTTGTTATTAGTGTAGGTTTTACACAGCTAGTTTACATAGGAAATTCGCGAATACACTTCATATCAACATGCACAAACTTTAAGGTTGCCGAGGAACAACCAATACAAGATATTTTTTGTTCTTGACAGTTCATTTTTTAATCAAAATCTTACTATAATATTGGCATTTAGATATTTGGCTGTAAAAAACCAAACTACGGCTGGGTACAAATATATGGTTTCTGATTTTCGCAAATAATTTTATGACAAAGGCACTGCACAGAAGTCTCAAAAACAGAATTTTATTTGGAAGACATGACGTTTATTCCAACTGTGTAAGGAATATTGTTCAATTATACAATGTGTGAGATAGAAAACCGTCGGTCGCGATGTTCAATTTTTAGCTCACCTGTCACGACAGGGTGAGCTTTTGTGATCGATTTTTGTCCGGCGTCCGCCTGTCGTCCGTCCGTCCGTCGTCCGTAAACTTTTACTTTAAATGACATCTCCTCATAAACCACTAGGCCAATTTCATCCAAACTTCACAGGAATGTTCCTTTGGTGGTCACCTTTGAAAATTGTTCAAAGAATTTAATTCCATGCAGAACACTGGTTGCCATGGCAACCAAAAGAAAAAACTTTAAATATCTTCTTCTAAAAAACCAAAAGAGCTAGAGCTTAGATATTTGGCATGAAACATCTTCTAGTGAGTGTCTACCAAGTTTATTCAAATAAAAGACCTGGGGTCAAAATTGGCCCCGCCCCAGGGGGTCATTGATTTGCCCTATATGTATATAGTAAAAACTTAAAAAATCTTCTTTTAAAGAACCCAAAAAGCTAGAGCTAAGATATTTAGCATGAAGCATGTTCTAATATATGTCTCCAAAATTTGTTCAAATAAGAGCCCTCGGGTCAAAATTGGCCCCGCCCCAGGGGGTCATTGATTTTCCCTATATGAATATAGTAAAAACTTAAAAATCTTCTTTTAAAGAACCCAAAGAGCTAGAGCTAAGATATTTAGCATGAAACACGTTTTAATGGATGTCTACCAAGTTTGTTTAAATAAGAGCCCTGGGGTCAAAATTGGCCCCGCCCCGGGGGGGGGGGGGCTCATTGATTTGCCTTATATGTGTATAGCAAAAACTTAAAAATCTTCTTCGAAAAAACCCGAATAGCTAGAGTTTAGATATTAAGCATGAAAAATCTCCTAGTAAGTGTCTACAAAGATTGTTCAAATAAAAGCCCTGGGGTCAAAACTGCCCCAGGGGTGTCATTGTTTTTAAATATATGTGTAAAGGAAAAGCTTGAACAATCTTCTTTTAAAAAACCCAACGAGCTAAACCTTAGATGTTTAGCATGAAACATCTTCTAATGGGTGTCTACCAAGTTTGTTCCAATAAAAGCCCTGGGGTTTGAACTGGCCATGCTCCGGGGGGGCCTATATACAGGTGAGCGACTTCAGGGCCATCATGGCCCTCTTGTTTATTATAATGTTTAGTTAACGGTTTTCTCAGTTTAAGTTTCTTTTCACGGTATGATTTATACGAGTTTATATAGATTCAGAATAACCAGTATAGAATAGCCTTCTATAGACCGATAACCTCTGTATAGCAACAGTATCAATTCTACCCGAAGTAATCAATTACTAAAAATCTACCCTCTGCAGAATTACACCTGCAAAAACTTTGTGTCCGAAAGGGTGTTACTTTGTAGAGGTTTCACTGTACTTTATTTATAATCAGTTCGTTGTCGTCACTTTTCCTATTTGTATTTCTATGTAAGAAGCGTTTGGTTGATAAGATTCTTTTCTGTTGCTCCTAGTCATGTAGCCGTTTATTAAATATGTATTGTACACGGAAAGTGACGGAATATGCCGAATTTTAACGAATTAATATTGGCATGTGCATGTTTGTCAAAGGTTCTCAATCAACTTACAATGCGGATATGGCGACATTGCATTTCACTTTGATGTTCGTTTTAACTATGGAAATGACAGAAATGTAATCGTCAGAAACAGCCTACTCACGAATTCTTGGGGTCCGGAAGAAAGAACGCTGCCCTGCGGTTATTTCCCCTTTCAACCAAATATGTATTTTGAAGCGATTGTTCTTGTCGAGCCATACTGTTTTAAGGTAGTATGAAATCTGCACGGAGTTCACGTGTTCGTATGTTTAATGACACTCAGTGCTTGCTTGTTTGTTTTAGATAACCAGAGTTTACCTGCTAACACATGTTTGCAATGCATATGTTTTTTATTTATATATAGCTCGCAAGAATTCCGCTAACATCAGAACTGTCCATACCCATTATGTATCGCGAATAAAAAATTTTTAATTTTGGTCGCTTTAGCTCTTGGTCGCTTACGGATTGCTTACGGAAAGTTCTGGAACATGCTGATTTTTTGCGGGTTTGTGATGGTTGCGTATACAACACATGATTTATGCTTTTTTCATCATTAGTTGGTATCTTGAGAAATAGAACGGGAATTTCAGTCGCCGATAGTTTTAAAAATTGCATAGTCAAACTTATTAATACTGAAAAATCAAGCGATTTCCAGAACCATTTTATTCATTTAAAGGAACATACGTGTTAATTTTTATAAAAGAACGCTTTTGAAATCCTGTTCTGCTCTTGGAGTTCATCCGAATTTCATTGCCTCACTTGATCGAGAGACGGATAATAGATAGGTATCGACACAGCTTGATGTTTACTGCATTCCAATCGTCAACTTCTGCATTTTCTGTTTTATTAAAAGACGGGTCTCAATGACCTCGTGTTTTAAGAATTATAAAGTCAGAATTGTGAAAGTTATGCAGTGCTTTAATATGTTTTCCTAGGAAAATCGGAGGCATTTTTCCGAAACTTGGTTAACAATATTTGATGTCTAACGACTAGCATTGACTTTCTGATATTCAAAAATATATCATGCAATGTTTATGAGAGTAAGATATTGTGGACAGTCCGGTAGTGAAATGTTTAGTTGCCATTTATATTGATATTTGTGATGAAATTTATTAACCATAATAAGATATCTTAAAATTCTGATCCTGATTTTTGACCGATCCTGATTTTATATCTTCTTTTGAACACGATATTTTTTATTTTCTCAGAGCATATACTGGACGTAAAGGCGATTGTAACGGGAACTATCCATTTTACTTCACATTGCGTAGTTTAGTGCTTGCATAACCTTTGATCGATTGTATTTTAAGTTTTCAAATTCATAGCATGATTAGCGACACAACGTGGAATGAATGCACGAGATTTTTGTTCCAGATTTACAGTGTACCTTCAGCAGGGAAGTCAGCACGAGCCTCACCATATCGGAATGTGCTTTGATGCTAGATTTAATTACGGCAATGACCGGAATGTTGTCGTAAGGAATCACAAACAAGGGAACTGGGGTCAAGAAGAGAGGCACGTGACCCATTTCCCATTCATGCCAAATGGAAACTTTGAGATGATCATTTTGATTGAGCCACATTGCTACAAGGTAGATAACCAAACAATTCCCCCACGAAAGATAAAACAAAAGGCAGAAAGAAAGAAACAAAAACATGTATTCGCAACATCTCCACACAAACCACTTAGGTTTTTGTGTCCGAAAGATATATATAAATATTTCCGGTTTGATGCATAAAGTAGTTCACGGGAGAATTATAAATGAATTTAAAAAATAAAATCTATAAAGACTTCTTGTCCGATGGCTTATGTATCTTATGTGCAGCATTACATATTGGATTTTCCAAATCGTCACCCTTTGGATATAAATACCCAACTCTTTTGATCAATTCTGTGTGTGTGTGTGTTTTTTTTTAACATTTTTGGGTTCACCTTTGCTTTCTGCTGATTAATTATGTCTGTTTTAAAAGAAGTCACGCTTTTTCTGTTTCAAAGCAAAATCACGCTCTTTGTTTTACAGCAAAGTCAGTCACGCTTTGTTGGGAATATTTCAAAGCAAAATTACGCTTTGTCTGTTTTAAAAGCAAAACACCACCTTGTCTGATTCAAAGCAGTTAATTTTTCTCCGTTTCATGGCTTAGTCACGCTTTGCCTGATTCAATGCCGAGTCTTGCTTTGTCTGCTAAAACCAACGTCACGCAAAAAGACGATCTATCAATAATAATGTCACGACATATCCGTGCTCTTATCCCAAATTTCATTTGGTCTTCATCTCGAACCGTTTGGTACCGGATCATTTAACATTTGTATGAAATTTTACTATCACATCTATAAGGGAAAATTCATGTTCATAAAATGTAACAAATATAACTTGATAAGCTTGCATATGCAAACTTACTTGCTTCTTGTTATATTTTTTCTTTCTTTTAATTTTGATTTTTAAAAGCCTTATAAGTTAACAACTTTTTAATACGCATAAGTACGCATGAAAAGACAATTGAACGCATAAATACGCATATTAACAGCTTAAAGTATTTGCATGGAATTAGTTGTTTTTTTTTATTTTGAAATGATGTTTTCGTGGGAGAACCGTGGACTAATGCAAGATTTTAGTTTGTAGAGCATATAATGTAAACATAGTTGTTAAAACGACGATGAAAATTGAGATCATGTTATTTTGTTGATGTTAAAAATAACCTTTCTAATAGCATGAATTAAATATGTGCATGCACATTTTTTTTTAGATATTTAGTTCCCTTTACTTTTTCTTAAATAGAACAAATAGAAGTAGAATAAAACTAGCATAACACTATCATTGATATATCTAAATATATAGCTGTATAATTCTTAGTTCTTGCGTTAATCATTATATTTATACAATTTATACTGTAAACTGTGTGACAAAATGAATATTTGATATTAAACTATACTTTATTGGTTACAAGCTCTTGCTGCGCATATTGCTTTACAAAATGATGAACTTTAGCCTTTCTGTAATTGTTCTTTTAAAGAAGACTATTGTTACTTTGAAATGATATAACTAAATAATTTTAGGTCAAATCTGGGTATTTTCTATATTGGTGAAATTTCTATGTAAAATTATGTGCATTATTATTTCAATTATTTTTGAAATTTTCAAAATACTGTGTTGAAAAACTTTTGTTATTACTTTACTTAACATCACCATTTTGTAAGAAGTAATGTAAGTAGATTGTAAGCAATTAGTGTCCTTAATTTTAATTCAGTAAATGATTATAACACAAGCTTTTGAAACCGAAACTACCAAGATTTTTACCATCTATTTAAGGTCAAGTCAATTTAAAAATCCGTAACCAACTTGAATATTTTCTGATCTATTTTAATTTCATTTTTAGCTCGACTATTCGAAGAATATGAGAGCTATTGTTGTCGCCCCGGCGTCGGCGTCGGCGTCAGCGTCCGCGTCGGCGTCTGCGTTGGTTAAAGTTTTTTGTAAAGTCAAATATCTCAATAATTACTTGAGATATTCAATTGAAACTTTCAATACTTATTTATAGTAACAAGGTACATCAGATTGACAAGTTGGATAACTCTGCCTACAATATTGACAGAATTATGCCCCTTTTTAACTTAGAAATTTTGGTTAAAGTTTTTTGTAAAGTCAAATATCTCAATCATTACTTGAGATATTCAATTGAAACTTTCAATACTTATTCATAGTAACAAGGTACATCAGATTGACAAGTTGGATAACTCTGCCTACAATATTGACAGAATTATGCCCCTTTGCAACTTAGAAATTTTGGTTAAAGTTTTTTTGTAAAGTCAAATATCTCAATTATTGCTTGAGATATTCAATTGAAACTTACAATACTTATTTATAGTAACAAGGTACATCAGATTGACTTAGAATAGTCGAGCGTGCTGTCATACCGACAGCTCTTGTTAATTTTGTTAATTAAGGTAGTATGGATTTTGGCTTCGAACCCTACTAGGAACACGGCCGTGTTTTCCCGGTTGATTCAAGTGCTGGTTTAGTTCCAGGAAGCGGACTCGAATGTGGTTCAAAGAAGCTATTTTTAACTTTTCCTGAATTCTGAGCTTAAATAATGATTAAACAGAATCTAAAATATTTTTATGTATCACAATATTGAAAAAAAAGATGTCTGTTTGTTTTTTCTTTAAAAATATCAATGTCTGCTTTCAGGTGGCGGTGAATAATCAGCATCTACTAGAGTTTAACCATCGAGTACGTCAGCTGAACCTGATCGACACTCTTCGCATTGACGGTGACTTGAGGCTAACCCAGGTTCGATTCCAGGGCTAAATGTGACTCGTACCGCATTCAGTGTCAGATGCTGGCAATTTTTATAAGCGTTTTTGGTGAATTAATGTGACACTATGTGACACTTTTTCAATCTTATTTTTCCTTAAAATTTATATTCTAAAAAGAGTGCTTTTATGTTATTTTCTTTTTTTCATTTTATTTTCATTTTAGCTTTAACATTGCGAATTTGAGTCTTGATATACTTTCATATATAATTAGTACTGATAATAGTTTGAGTACTCCAAGAATTACATCAAATTGATTCAGTATTTTCTAGGGGAAAAATCGCAATATGTTTATAATCTTTCAACATTTAACAGAACCTACGATTTCGAAAATGTGTAAACAGCTATCACATACATGTTGAAGTAAAACTCTTCGGGTAAACATTTGTACTTAGGTCGGTGACTGCCAAATATATTATACGTTTGAATTTGACAAGATGCTACAGAAAGTAGCCTACACCAGTATTTTTTCTATCTTTCATGGAGTAAAGGATTCACAAAAGTTTGTGCAATAAAAGAATTTTTATAGTTTTTGTGTCATTGTTTTATGTCCCTTAAAGGGGTGAATATCATATTGTATACCCATTGTCCGTCCGTCCTGCTGTCCTATTTTCACTCTGTCCGTCCGTACGCTGACTTAGCAGCAAAATTAGGTGTACATGTATCTGTATCCGGTTTTAATTTGATATACAAGCAATTCATACAATGACTGAACATTTTTTTTCCACAATTCTGTTGTATAGATATACGTCTTATGATATGCCATGTCTTATGATAGGCCATGATTTATGATAGGCCATGTCTTATGATAGGCCATGTCTTATGATAGGCCATGACTTATGATATGCCATGACTTATGATAGGCCATGTCTTATGATAAGCCATGTCTTATGATATGCCATGACTTATGATAGGCCATGTATTATGATATGCCATGTGTTATGATATGCCATGACTTATGATAGGCCATGTCTTATGATAGGCCATGTCTAATGGTAGGCCATGACTTATGATAGGCCATGTCTTATGGTAGGCCATGTCTTATGATATGCAATGACTTATGATAGGCCATGACTTATGATAGGCCATGTATTATGATATGCCATGACTTATGATAGGCCATGTCTTATGATAGGCCATGTCTTATGGTTGGCCATGACTTATAGTAGGCCATGACTTATGATAGGCCATGACTTACGTCCTTTTCTGAATATAAATACTGTTAGCCTAAACATTTAGCCTTCCGTTGACAATTGAATCTAATGTATTCCTATGCCAACGGTAGAGACCAAGATAATTTGGCATTATCTATGGTAACTAATCATGGTCTACACTGTTCGCTTTTCAGTCGGTACATACTTGTAATTTCCCCCTAGAATGATGAATGGATTAGTCCATATTGAAAGATGGACAAGTCCATTTAAGGTATTTAGCAAGGTTAGGGATAAACACTCCGGCAGGAAAATAAGTCGTCATTTGTCACCTCTGCAGGATAATCATCTGGATAATTATCGTATCAACAGAACTGCTTGTTGATTTAAGATGGGATGCTTTTCCGCTTTGATGATCAATGTAACCCCATTTAAAAGGCCTTATTTGATAACTGCCTGAATAATGTTGGGCTGGGGGGGGGTCATTCCTTCTCTCTCTTTAGGTAGAACATTACATATGTGCCAATGTGACTTTCAAACACAATACTTTAGTTCCGGGCTTTAAAAGACGATTCACCCCAAAATGTCACTTTATAAAAACTAAGGGAAACAAGCAGATGAAACATCGCAATTTACGTGCATAATGGACATCTAATCTACCCATAAAATATCGGTACAGTTCACTGCACACGGGGGTCAAACCGAAAATACAGTCATGAACTTCTCGTGTAGTCCATGCACTATAAACATGCGGTTTAAATTTGTAAAAATTATCATGTACATGTGTTAGTCGAAACACAATCATCATTCCATAACACCCAAACAAAATAATGTTAATGAGAGTGAGCTCGGGCGATAGCCATGTTGGAATGTGGTTTGAGTCGTAACGAGGTCGCAAAGCGTTTGAATTGTTCAAGATCCACAGTAACACGGCTTGTTCAACGTTAGGGAACAGTCACACCTGCCGATAGACATCGTTTAGGGGCCCCGCGTGTAACGACCAAGAGACAGGACGTCTTTATACGTCAATGTTATTACGTGACAGATTTGACACTGCGGAATCTATGGCAAACTAAGTGGTCGTTAATCCTGTATGCCTGCAAGTCGTTATACAATAAGAAGACGCCTGTTGGAGCATGGAATGCGATGTCGCAGACCATACCATGGAGTCATTCTAAACAGATGTCACCGCCAGCAACGTCCCCTTTGGACTCGTCAACATATTCAAGATCGCTGGAATATCGTGGTCTTTAGTACCAAGTCACGATTTAGCTTGTTTAATGCTGACGGTCGTGTACGGTTATACCGACGTCGAAATGAACGTTACGTGAATAACTGTCTTAGATTAACCTTTACGGTGGAGGCGGTATAATGTTGTGGGGAGCAACTATCTGATTCGGTGGTGTGTCAGGTAAACTTCACGGCTAGAAGGTACATTAATCAGGTTGTACCTGTAATTATTCCAATGTTTAACCAACGTCATTGACTATCGTTACAACATGACAATGTCAGGCCATATGTCCCCTGTATCACTCGGGACTACCTCCAACACAATAACATTAACGTACTTCCCTGGCAATCTGTTTCTCCGGATTGTAATCCTTTGACTACATTGGACAACGTTTACGCAAACGTTAACAGCAGCCTTGAACTCTACGGCAATTTACTGCAGTTGTACGTGAAAAGAGGAACAGGATCCAATTGTATATGTTAAATAACTGGCGTGGTTCTATGAGGAGGAGGTTGACTGTTGTACTAGTCAGTAGTGGCCGACATACTAGGTTTTTTTTTTTTTTTTTTTTTTTTTTTTTTTTTTTTTGTTTTTTTTTGTTTTGGAACCACGTTTAAGGTCCTTTTATTTACTTTTCCTTTTTACATAATACATTCATTTTACATTTTTCAATTAATTATTTTACATAACATACGTTACAAACTAATATATATGTTGTTGTAGACATTTTAAAATAATTTCAAAGAGCTTAAACGTGAATCTCTTTAAGAAAAAGTTAAGAGAAAGGATATTATATTTTAAACAAGATAGAGTTATGTTAAATCAATTTTTAAAAAAAAAATTCTTGAGTCAGTTGGAAAAATGCTGACAATTTGGGGAGGTGCTATAATATAAAAGGATAATTTGCAAGAGAATAAAAAAACTACGATAAGATAAAAAAATGGTAATATTAAGAAAGAAAGGCTGCTTTGGTAATATACTTCTGACATATCATCAATCAGTTCTTATAACATTATTAGAAAGTTATTCCACTTCCTGTTGAAATCATCAAGAGAATCATTTTGAAATGCTATGTATTTTTCTAAAGATATTCTATCAATCAATTTTCTTTTAAACACAAGATTATTTGGTATTTTCTTTTTTGTTTTACAACTATATATATAATATTTGGCAAATAAGAGAATATATGATAAAATTTTATTTCGTGAATGAAAAAAGGACAAAAATTTGTCTTGGGTTGCAAGTATACCAATTTCAACCAACCATTTAAACAATTCATTCCAGAAAATTTGTGTTTGTTGACAGGTCCAAAATATATGTTCTATGCTATCTATTTCCATATTACAAAAATCACAAAGACTAGACTCCACTGATTTACATCTAAAGAGAAATTTGTAAGTTGCAATATTTCTATGTAGGAAATCAAAATAAAAATTTTGCAAAATATTATCCTTACAAATATCAAACGCATTCAAATATATTTGTTGCCAATTGAAATTTTTATCTGGAAATACTGCCTCCCATTTTAACTGGGATTTTAGTTTTTCATTCTGGTATTTTAGCTTTCTTTCTTTTTGAACCTGTGTTAATTTTCTATTTAGGAGATGTGTTTCTGTTTTTCTAAAGGCTCATAAATATTTATTTCCTCAGTTGTTACAGAAAGAATGACATTATCTAATTTTCTTTTCCAACATGTTGGGATTGAAGAGATAAGTCTATGGTAATTTAAAAACTCAGTATTAGGAATGTTATATTCAGTTTTTAATTGACTAAAAGTTTTAATTTTTTTTTTGCGTTTATATCATAGATATCATAGATATCTTTTACATGGTATATATTTTTGTTTCTCCACTGTCTGAAATAGAGAAGGCTATTGTTATTTTTTATGTTTGAATTTTGCCAAAGAATTTGTTCTGAAATATTTTTCGGATTTTCATTAAAATTGATTTCACTCCAAGCTACTAATACTTCGTGTATAAATTTATTTTTGATTTTAAATTTCAATATATCTTTTGTGTTTATATTGCATTTAAATATAGATATTCCACCTAAATGATTTATATTTTTCTTTATTATTTCTTTCCACAACCCATCATTTGAATCGTTTATTATTCTTTTTATCCAGTTCGATTTTATTGAGTTCAAAAATATAGGAATGTCAATCATATTTAGACCTCCGTTTTTGTACTCCTGTATTATTACATCCCGTTTGACTTTATCCCTTTTTGAGCTCCATATAAATTCATAACATTGTTGTTTAATTGTATTTACAGTTTTATTTGGAGGATTGGGTAGAACAGAAAACAGGAAAGTTAATTTTGGAATTATTAATGATTTCAATACTGAGATATTACCAATTGTTGTGAGATGTCTAGCTTTCCATCTGTTTATGTCTATTTGGAATTGAGATAATCTGTTATCGTAATTTAATTTGAGGATATGGTCAGTTTTTGAATGAAATGTTATTCCTAGTGTTTTGACACTTTCTGATGTCCATGAAATATTACTATATTTTTTTCTACAATATATAAGGTCGTGCTGGTTTCGCAGTGGGCCTATTCTTAGAGCTGTACATTTACTATAATTAAGATTTAGACCCGAGATGAATGAAAATTGTTCAAATATATATAACATTTCTTTGAAACTGTTATTTGTACCATCTAATAATATTGTTGCATCATCAGCAAACATGCTGTTTTTTACTTCTATATCAAATATATTAAATCCTTTAATATTTGTATTTTCTCTTATTGCTATGGAGAGGAGTTCAATTGCTAAAATAAAAATGTAAGGAGATAAAGGACAGCCTTGTCGGACTCCTTGTCTGATATTAAATGAGTCCGACAAGAAACCATTGTAAAGAATACAACTTGTTGGATTTTTGTATAACAATTTTACCCACATTTTTAAATTTGGTCCAAAGTTAAATAGATCGAGTGTTTTTAAAATAAAATTATGATTCAAACTATCAAAAGCTTTTTCAAAATCAGCAAAAAATAATATTCCAGGTTTTTCGTTTTGTTCTGCGTACTCGATTACATCATAAATCAATCTTATATTTTCACCAATGTATCTGCCTTTAATAAATCCAGTTTGGCTATTGTCGATCAAGTTATTTAGTACACGTTTAATTCTATTAGCAATTACTT